ACATTTAGCGAACATTGACAGTAGTTTAGAGTTGTTGTTTCCAAGATTAGAAAAAGTGTTGGAGCAAAATGAAAACATACTGAAAATCTTAAAGAGCTTGAATATTAAACCTACATATAATAACAATAACAGTTACCAAGCAAAAGAAGTAGATAGAGACAGTAGCGAATACAAAAATAAACGAACCATTTATGTTAAAAAACTGAATGAAAAAGTCATAAAAGAACCTAAACAATCAAGTCTGGATTACTATCAAGTCAAGTATAAAGAAGACACCAATAAATACGTTTAATCATTAACTAACAAAATTTCGTGTCTCAAAAGCGGTTTGTTTATTCCTGCTACTTTGTAAGTTTTATTACCCATAATATCATATTCAATTTTATCGATATTGAATATTTTATTAGACCATTTAGAGTTATACTCCTTTCTGTCGGTGTAATTACCCCTTTTCTTTTGGAACACTTTTACCTTGTCGTTCTCCTCTATTTTGGGATACTTTCTTTTGTTTTTTTCTCGTAGTTTAAGATTGACCTTTACATTTATTTCATTGTCGTCCTTGTGTGCATCGGTCGGTGTCATCCTTGTTGATGAGTGTGATGTGCTGTTATACTGTTTCAATGCCGGCGTTAGGGCATCGGTCCATTTCATGTTGTTAAACCTAACTCTATCGTGAATTTTGTTTTTCATCGTTCTAATAAAACGCTCGGCCACATTTGCGTGGGTCTTCGTGACGATGTGGTTTATTCCTTCACTGTTGAAGAAATCCTGAACTTGATTTTTAGTTGCAAACGCTCCGTCGTCATCAGAATACACGGACATCGGATAACCCATCTTTTTAAAGCTTGTTCTCAACGCCTTCAAAACGTGCTCTCCGTCTCTTTCCTCCATCGGTATTACATCTGCTAATTTACTGAAGATGTCAATCACGACTAAAGCATACTGTGGAACGTTCTTGTCTTTTGCTAAAGGTGACATATGCATTATGTCTATTTGATATTCATATCGTGCGAATGGAGCGGTATAGGAATTAGTACCTCTATAATTTTTGATTTGTTTATTTGGTTGTTTCTTTAAGAAAGACTTTACATCGTCTAATGTTATTGTTGGGTCTTCTTCCTTTGCCTTCTTGTGTGTCGCTTGTGTGCTTCCGAAACCCTCGTCTAAGTCGTAATAGATGTTGCTGATTATTTGGTCTTTTGTTAATCTCGCCATTATATTAAATTGTTAGAAAATATTTTTTCAATATAAAGCCCCACCCCTTAACATAAAATACAAACTACTTAAAGAAAAATGGATATAATATAGTAAGAAAAAAATGACACTGTTTAATTATGATAAATGTCCTTGTAAAAATAAAAAATGTAAGTCTGTCGTGGCACTAGCTAATATTTTACCTGTTAATGTTTGTAATCTTATAGGTGGTTATATTAAACCAAGATGTTTTGATTGTTGGTATTTGAGAGATGAAGAAGAGCATTTTATGAGTGATAAACACATTCCTGAAGAAGGTCTGGAAAAAGCAGAGCTTCAGTTAAAGATTATTGAACAAATGCTAAATAACGATATGACTTGTCTAACAGTAATCCCTTTTGTTAACAAACAATACAGAAAAAGAATTGACAGAATATTTAATAAACAAGAGGTTAAAGAAAGATTTAAAACAAGAAAAATGTATTATCAAGGATTAAAATCATATTGTAAGAATAATCAAGAAGAAGTTACTGTACTTTTAAAAAATTGTCTTAAAATTGAAGAATTAAAGTTTATCAAAAATAGTGATTTGTTCTTTCCTAACCTAAACAATTGGTGGTCATATAGAAATAACAATTATTATATGAGAAACATATTAAGCGACTTAATTGAAATTTACACAGACCAATTAATAAAAGGATACGAGCATTATTGTTGTGAGTATAGTATGAGTTGTTATAGTGGTTGTATCGCTGGTGAGATTGAATACGGGTCAAATTAACTTTTGTTTATTAATATTGTTATCTTATAATATGATTAAACATTGATTTATAATCTAAAAAGAAGGTTAAGACATTTAAATTAAACCTGAAACCCAGACCACCGACCAGCAACCCCCTAGCCAAAACTACTTAAAGAAATATTACCTTATATATTAAGAGAAAAATGAACGGTGATGGAATCAATAATTATATCGATAAAAAATGCTATGATTGTTGTCACTTCAAAAAAGAAAATATGGAATTGTATAAATTGAGTTTACCTAATGAAATAGTGAATAATATTATTAATTATTCAATGGATGGTGAAGAAGACATATGTAAAAATTGTAAAACTTGGAGAGATAATCAATTTTTAATCAAATGTCTGTTGGGAATAAAAAGAATACATAATAGAAATGTAGAAGATGATATTTTAATATTTCTAACTGTAAATAAAATACCACCTTACGATTATGTTAAACAGTTTCTTAAAATCAGTAAGAAAAAATATGACATGATTTATGATATATTATGGATGTTGGGTTATAGTCAAGAGAAAGGAGAAGATGTTAAAGAAAATATCAAATTATTTATTGAAAGTAAAAAGTTTAATGTTCAGAATACAGTGAGAGATGTTAATATTATTTTTAAAATGATGTATGAAAGAAGTAAGACAAACCAATTAGATTATTATCCTGAACTGAAATTATAATCATAATATAATAATAACATGTAAAATCTTATATGTTATAATTATACTGAACTTTTAACCTATAAATGAAAATTAGTGAGAAAAACACTAACAAAACAAATACACCACCAACACCCCAGAACTTGATAACTACTAAAAGGGTTAACTCTTTCAAATGAAAAAAATGTTTGCCCCCAGCCCAACAATGAACAAGGGGGACAATTTACCCAAATGATTACCTTAACGAAAACGATAAATAAGCTCCCTAAAAACCCTCTTTTAAAAACGAATAAGGGGGAACACAGATTTGAGATGAACATAAAAACCAGAACAGGCAACCCTCAACAGACCACCCCCCAGGCCCCCTACTTTTACCATTTTTTTGGGGGGGGGGGTTGAAGCATTTGATGTTCCCGGATTTCTTTCACACCCCTGCCTCTTTCCTAGTAAAAGTAAGGGGTGTGAACAATCTGTTGTTTGTGGATTTCTTTCACACCCCCCTTTTGCCTGGTAAAAGTGGGGGGTGTGAAGGTTTTGTTTGAGAATATATAAAAAACAATAAACATATTAATTATTACTATATTTCTTCACACCCCCCCTAAAATACTGGAGAAAGTAGGGGGTGTGAAAGAACTCCTCCGGCAGCAAAACCCTCACACCCCCCCCCCCCCTAAAATGCAGGTGAAATGGGGCTGTGATCATATCCTACTTGAAGGGGCAGGGCACTTACTAAGTGGTTAGTAAGCCTGGTAATAACCCACTTCGGAGAGGTGTAACCATGGTAAGTGGGTTATTATAAGTAGGCTACTAATCAATTATAACCTACTTATACTAACCCACTTACCATGGTTACAACTCTCCTAAGTGGGTTATTACCAGGCTTACTAACCACCTAGTAAGTGCCCTGCCCCTTCAAGTAAGCTTGGCAGCCAAGATCATCCAAGTTCCCTTTCTGGGAGATGAGGCTTATCCACCATCGGTTTCAAAGGGTTCCAGGCGACCTTTTTGTTTGGGTTGGCTTAAATCTTCCCCAGAATTAGCTCCCCTTTTTGCTTTTTTGAGCTTTTTTGGGGTTCCCTTTGTTTTCCACTAACCAGGCAAAACATATATTTTTTTGCCGGGGTCCTAATTTCAGCCTAGAAATGGAGACCAGCGCAAAGGGGTTTCCCCTTTGACACAAGCCCAGAGATGCGAGGCTTGACTCCAACCATGGAGAAAACACGGCTTCTCTTTGGAAACCACCCATGCTCGGGTTCCCCCTACTCCAAATACCTGCTTTTCTGCGTAGGACAAAAACAAAAGCTGGTTTTCCATGGTAAACACTTCCAAGTCTTAGTAGAGAGAGGGGGGGAGGGTTAAAACATGCTACCAAAACATGTCCTTCTTTCCCATGGCCACTGAAGGTCTGGGAGCCTGCGACTTTTTGCTGAAAAGAATGGTAGAACGGGGGTTGCAAGGTGAAGATTCCTTTCTCGGGTTCATGTTTCTGATTTCGGTTTTTGGTTGGTGAGTTGATCTGATTTGCGCAGATCTGGGGGAGGGGTTTAAGAACTGAGCAAACGAGGGGATGACCATTCCAATGTATACCAACATGTGACCCGGGTGAATGTGAGGAAACATATTGCATACATGGATTGTTTGGGATTTACTCACTCGCCAACAGATCGCATACGAGCAAACTGGAGGTTTCCAATCACCAGCCAGTTCATAAACACTGGTTGATCATTCGTGGGTGTTCCGTTTAGGGGATCCCTCTCTTCTTGCGGGAGCACTGATCAGCTCGAATCGAGGGTCCATATATGTACGTATATATAGATACATATTATCTTTGGTGCATTTTGCTTGGCTGTTAGGACTTTAACTTTTTGCCAACTAATGGGTTTTTCACCAAACCACTAAAAGTTAAATTTTTAGCAGGGGAGCAGAAAGCGAGTCATTAGGCATCCAAGCTCACCAGGTAAACGAGCTCACCCATGATGGGCTGTGCTTAGGTCTGCTCCAGGTCCGGGGATCCTTTGAGGGTTCCTTGCTTCGAAAGGGAGACCGCGACCGCGAGAAGTGGGTAGGGGAGGGGGGGTAGCCTTTCTTCTCCAGGCAAGTAGGGTAAAGCGCCAAGGGCCTATTTCTGGATCGGTAATTGCGGAGAGTTCGCTCAACGTGGAGCTTGCACCTAAAGACCCAGATGGAAGACAACGGGGCGTTTGTGAAACTTGCTGATCTTCAGCAGGAATGACCTTCCGGGTGTTGGGATTGAACCGGTTTTAGGGATTCCCTCAAAGGAAGCCATAGTTGCATTTGTGCTTCTCGGCAAAGGCATCCCACCGAAAAATACCGAACAATCCGCACTGCGCCAGGTGCCCTTCCGAACTCTGAGCACTTCCGCCGCCAAGGAGCCACGGTTGTTGTTGGGAAACATTTTACCATTTTGCTTATTGTGGTTTAGTGGTTGAAATCCAACCACTCAACCTAAAATTTGAAGATTTTTGCTCCCCTACCAACGTCAACCAAGGAGCAAGGGCTGCACGTGAGCAGCAGCGGCTTTCTGGTGAAATCCGAGCGGATGGTGCACCTTTGCGTGGCCGGGGAGGTGGATGGCCTGGCACCCCGCGACAGGCACGAGACCGAGTAGCTTCCATTTGCTTAACTTAAGAAGCCATGGAGTTATGGATCTCAACCAAGGGAAGTGTTCAAACTAAGAACGGACAATTAGAGACTAAGAGAGGAAAATATGAATACTAAGAGTGGAAAACATAGATACAAAGAGCTCTCATTGAACTGCCGATCAGCGACCCAAAAAGGGGAGCGCCCAAGCTTCCGTTTGCTGAAATGAATATTTCTTATGTTCCCTGGTTGGTTTTTTGAAGGGAATCGATTTCACTTTTTGTTTTCCAGGGGTCTTCAGCAAATGGAAGAGTGGCTTCCAGGTGTCGAGAGGATTGGAGCATGCTTGCAGGGGCCCAACATGGGGTGGTTCAATCCCCCAAAAGCTGGGCTGTTCAAAGGCAATCCGCAAGATCCTTGCCTGGGGTTACGCAAGGAACCGGTCCCCTTTGTAGGGATTATGGATTAGGATTGGCCAACCCATTTTGAACCGCCCAGAAAGGAGAACGCCGGCGCTTGGGTCTATCTTGGGGCAGTCAAAAAGTAGAACCCTAAATATGGGAGGTGAGTGCCCAAACCGATTCCCAGGCCCAGTTTCGCAGGTTCGGTTCCTATACCCGGCTTTTTCGGGTGGTTAGGTTACCGAAGCTATAACCCGAGCTTGCGGCAACGAACATCCAAGTAGGATATACTTGGACCCTCAAACTACCCTTGCAAAAGGGACATCACAAAACATGATTTTGGGTTGCAACCCCTTTAAAAGTTGGATTTCTGAGGGTCCAGGTGGATTAGTGGAGTTAGCCAGGTGGCTAGCCATGTGCACATACTTGGCCGTTCATCCACGTAGTAAGGTGGTTGGCCAAGCTAGTAAGTGTTTAGTGACCTAAGCTATAACCCGGTTATAAGTCGGCTAAGTGCAGTTAACCCACGTGGCCTCTTCCACTTCCTGACTTGGCCGAACGTCTAAGGAAGTAGCTGGAGTCTCCATGACCCTTCAAACATGGTTTCAAAAATGGGTTGACGACCCCATTATTTTGGGTAATGACCCCATTTGTTTAAGGGTCGCGGAGACCCCAGTATGACCTTTGTTTGATGAACGCCTTGCCAGGCTAAGAGCGCAGAACGTCCGAGACTCTTTGGGTCTTTCCGTGGGCGACGCCACGACGGATCTCCTGAACGCTCGCTACTGCCGCCTGGTGCAAAGCTGCGACACTCGAATGGCAAGCAACCGCCTGGACACTCAAACTAGCCTTACTCTAGGGGTTGATTCCCCACTCTTTTCAGCCATCGTTCTTTTCAAAAGCCATCCATTTCCCCAGGGTTTTTTGTGGTTTCTGGAAAGAAGGATCCCTGGAAAGAATTGGGAAGTTGACCCTAGACTTACAAAAACGTATTTACCAACCATGATTTTGGGGAAGACTGCTTTCACGGCATGGGAAAAGTGACCTGCATGTTCATTTTGGGGCCAGGAATATTGATCAAGCCTCATTTGGGTGGTTTCCCATTGGTTTTTGGCAAGCAGAAAACGATCCAATCCAAACGGTAGGCCACCAAATGGACGGAAGCTGAGCACATTTCCGATGCGCAAAGACATGGCTTGCGCTCTATGGTTGTCAAGCCCCAGACACGTGGCTGGCTTCTTTCGTTACTTGTTATTGGGGGAGTAACATCTGCAAAAAAAAAAATGCCAACAAGAACAGGGCTGTTTGTTATCCTGTAGGAATCCACTGGGGCCCGTTTCGGGGGGTCGACTTGCGAGATGTAGCCCGACTTTGTTGATGTGTGCGAGTTGTTTTCCCATGGCTTTGCCTTTCCACCCGGAAAGGTAAGCCTTTTGCAGGGGGGCTAAGTCTGCCTGGACCCCCAACAGACCGATTCCTTTTTTCTACCATTCTACCTCTCTTTTATGGGTCATTTCGGCAGAAACAAAGGGGTCCATGGTACCCCATGATTTTAGGTAATGACCCACCATTTTTGAAGGGTCAGACGGAGACTCTAGAGGTAGCGATGGTAAACAAGGAATCGGCACCGTCTTTTTGGTTCACTGTTCAAAGAGAAGCCCAAGGGAAGCCCGCTTACTTACCCACTTACTACTGCCCACTTGCAAGCATGACTTGTAAGCACTTACTACTCTGCCCCTTTACGTCTGGCCCAAACCAGTTGGTTTGCTCAAAAGGCGCCCCCAGGTCAGAAGGGTTGGCCTGACTTCGTGCGCGGCGGCCTGAAGGCCACGAAACCGAATACGGCGAAGCATGCGGGGCCGGAAGCCCCGAAAAGTCCTGCAGTCTCCTTCTGACTTTTGAAAAATGGCTTTTCATTACCTCATTTTTTGAGGTCATTGACCCAATTTTAAAGGGTCATGGAGACTCCAGGTAGGCATTTTCAGGAAAACCTGCCTTTTGGACTCACCCCCTAAGTTCCTGGACTTGATACTTTTCGGGAAGACCATTTTAGTGGTAAACAATCAGTTTGGACTAGAAGTGAGAAAAAACACAGTATGCTTTCAGAATCCTGTTTTTAGAGGACTTTGGGTGCTCATGGTCATTGGCAGATGTGTGTGCGTATGTGTGCACGCGTGTGTTTTTGTTGAGGGTACCATTTCACCTTGGGTTTCAAGCAAACCAACAGAAGTCGCAATCCATATTCGGACCATTTTGACACATACTCACTACTGTTACCGGGAGACCCGACAACCCTGACAGACTGGGCTGTTCTGACCCACACTCTGTGCCTCGTTATACACCAACCAGCGGAACCTTACCCAGCGATTCCATTTTGCCTGCATAGGGAAGCACAGGAACCACCCAAGGCCCAACAGCAAAACCGCTGGGAACCCACAAGCCGGGACCCACTGGTGGTATGCATGGTTGTTGTTGGGAGACATAATGCATTTTTGCTTATTGCGGTTTATCCGGAGATCCCAACAGAGCTGCTAAAATTGAAGTTGTTGCTCCCCTTCCAACGTCAACCAAGTATGGCGTGCCTAAGGGTCATAGGTGTCCGTTTTAGGTTAGTGTGGTTAAAATAGAAGGCACAGGTTTAGATGGGGTTTTATGCCGCATTTACCAAAAAACCAATCTATTTTTCCAACAGGACACCTATGGCTCTGTCATTCTTACAAACGAGCTTTGGCCTTTGCATCATCGGGAGGATCAAGCCTAAAAACTTTTTTTCCCGCCACGGAGATGAGTTTTATGCCCCATTTACAAGTAACCCCATCTATTTGTTCAAAAGGAAACCTATGCTAAGGCCGGCTTCCCCCTAGGCCCTACGGCCCTCTGACCCGGCGTCGAGTCCCCGCCAGGTGTCGCGCCCCGCCGCGCAGCGCGAGGAGCGCGTGAGGCGCATGAAGCTGGCGCTGGCGGCCACGGAGCTCTACGGGGAGAAGCTGCCCGCGCAGAACGCCTGGCGACTCGGACATGATTACAAGTCTCCGTTCAGTCTGTTATAACCAGGCTTAATCACTTACGATGCACCCGATCGCCCCTTTAAGCAGACCAGTGGGGTGTTTTTCAAACTGGAGTCTTGGAGGGTTATAAAGGGAAGAAAATAAAGCAAGCCATAAATTTGGTCCCCAATGTTGAGTTTCACCCAGTGGGTTGCATTTTGGAGTTTGTTGAAAGGGGAAGCGAGAGGAAGCTTAACCATTTTCGGGTGGCCCTATTTTATCACCGCTAAAAGCCCATTGTTGGGCTTTTGTCATTTTCTTGGAAGGCTTGCCTTGGGCTTCTCTTGAAACAGTCAACCAAAAAGACGCGTGCCGATTCCTTGTTTACCATCACTACTGCTTTCGGCTATGAATCTCACTAGGCAGCCACCTGTAAAGTTCATTTCGGTGGACAGTGGACATGAACTCCCCTGAAATGAGGTCCGCCAAAGGGTTCAGGATTGAAACCGTGCCGAACTGTTGCTTAAAGTCAGCATTCCAAAAAACAGCAATTGCACACAACCAGGCAATTCTGTTGCTTTTAAATGTGCGCTCAAACTATCCCTTGAAGCTACTACTTTCCGATTCTCAACGAAAAGGGAATGATTTGTTTATTCATGGGGGTTGGCCAAATTAGATTTACTGAAAGTACTCCATAAACCCTTTTGAATGATTCGCAAGTTGGAAACAAGGATTCCCCAATCAAAGGAGCTTCATTATGGGTGAGCTCGTTTTTTCCTCGACGATCACTGATTTGTGGTGGGGGGGGGGGTTAGGGCACACATCACCTTTGAGCCCTCCTTTCGGTGAGGTGATGCTTTAAGGACACATGAGCCACGTCCTCAAAACCCTTTGGGAACATATGAGGAAGCCTGTGCACGGCCCAACCGATTTGATGACAATGAAGAATCATGAAGATAACATTCCTGTGAACAAGGAAAAAAGAAGCTTACCTACGGGTTAGTCCGGTGCAATTTCCAATTTTGAGAATTGTGACTACACAGTGACTACTCTCCTACAACACAAGGAAACTCAGAGGAATCCTTCTTTTTGAGGAGGACCCCCCCGAACGTCAGGTTCCATGTTAATGGGAGGGCAACTTGCCCAGGAGCTGGCAAAATCTGACCAAACGAAGACGGATAACATGGAACATTTACCGCGACAAGTGACACTTTCGGTTGTATGGTCGCGTTTTGGTGGTGAACCAAATTTAAACTGTTATGACCCAATCCACTCAGGCAGCGAGAAATTTCTTTGGGTTTCCTTCGGAAACCATCCCAAAGAGGGCAGTCTCCAAAAGCCGACGGAGGTTCCAGGGCCCCTTCTACTACGAGGAGATCGGCATGCGGCACTTGTCGACTGAAGCGTGAGCCGAGCCGGTCTTTTGAGAGAGGCGTATGCAAGAGGTTGTTTGAACGTTTTTTGGCATCCTGCAGTCTCTTAGACTCAGCTTCCCACGAAAAAGATTGGATTCGTTTGGAGGGGTTAGCGGGTAGTTTCCCATGTACCTGCAACAAGAACCAGGAATTCAACGCTCCCAACCACAAATGCAAGCCAGCAATTAAGGGTTACCTGTTAGATAGAACGTGGTAACACATGGTTTCAACCATTTGGCAGTGTTTTTTTTGGAGGGGTCTGTAACAGAGCCGCGGCGGACATTCGTTGCAGACCTCTGTAACAAGACCAGCTGGCTCGTTACACACCCCTCGTTACACACCCTCGTTACACACCCTCGTTACACACCTCAGATGAACAAACCGGGCCAGTGACGTGACTGCCCTCTTTTTGCCGCAGCCTGGCTTGTGTTGAACAGCTGCAATCAAGCTGGAGCTGCGGAGGCGCTTTGCGTACTGTGCTTTGCTTTGCCTCGTTATAGACCTCGTGACAGAGCCGTTACACACCTCGTTACAGACCCAACCCCAGCCCGGGCCAGCGACCCCGCTTTTTGCTGCAGCTTGGCTTGCGTTGAATAGAGCTGCGGAGGCGTGCTTTGCGTGCTGCGCTTTGCTTTTTCCTTGCGACAGGCCTCGTTACATATCCGTTACATACCTCGTTACAGACCCAACCCCAGCCCGGGCCAGCGACCCCGCTTTTTGCTGCAGCTTGGCTTGCGTTGAATAGAGCTGCGGAGGCGTGCTTTGCGTGCTGCGCTTTGCTTTTTCCTTGCGACAGGCCTCGTTACATATCCGTTACATACCTCGTTACAGACCCAACCCCAGCCCGGGCCAGCCCCCCCCTTTTTGCCGCAGCTTGGCTTGCGTTGAAAAGCTGGTGCTGCGGAGGCGCGCTTTGCGTACTGCGCTTTGCTTTGCCTCGTTACAGACCTGGTTGCGTAGCCGTCACATACCTCGTTACAGACCCAACCCCAGCCCGGGCCAGCGACCCTGCTTTTTGCCGCAGCTTGGCTTGCGTTGATGCGCTCCTGATTCTGCTTGTCAGGTTTTTTTTTGTCCGTTACAGACCTGCGTAACAAGGACCTCCGTTACAGACCTCCGTAACAAGATTCGTGCCGCGTCGCGCGTTACAGACCCCTAAAATCAAATCATAGCCATTTTAAGCTAAACTAGAAAAGGTCCAAACATAAACGAGCAATATACTTAGCTTTGCTTCGTTTTGTAATCTTGAAGACTTTTCGTGCTGAATCCTTCAGAGACTCCAGGTTGTGATCTTGCAATTCAATTAATTCGGCGTACAGCCGGCCAAATCTCAGCTGCGAGATAGATACAAAGCCTGCTGCGAGCCGAGCATATTGTTGACTGGGCACCAACTCGCATGACCTCACTCATGCGAGAGGATTTCTGTCGCATTCACAGGGGAACCACCCTGATTTGTGTACCTGAACCCCCAAAATTCCCTTAACAACGCTTTATTACCCCAAATGTTGGTTGGTGAATTCCCTTGTCCAGGTACTGGGGTTGATTCATTGGAGCACCGTCGTGAGAAATTACGTCGTTTACTCAAGCACATCTCCAGCGACAGGAAGGTGTGTGGTTCATGGGCCACATCGCTACTTAAAGGAGCGATCGGGTACTTAGTAACTGGGTACTGAGCCTGGTTATAACCCACTTAGGAGCCTCGTAGCCGCGGCAAGTGGGTTATTACCATGGTTATTACCCACTTACTACGTACCCTGCCCTTTAAGTAGGTCAGAATTTCAATGGGACGGGTCCTGAAGGAGGGATAGAGCTTTAAGATGACCCAAGCTGGGTCTGTTTGGACCTCAAGCTCAGGTGGGTCAGATGCCCAAGCGGGCAATTAGGTGGTTTGGTCTTTCTTGTGGCCCTTTACCCCAAAAAAGGCTTGGTTTCCAGATGGTCTCCCTTGACCAAAAACGGGTACTACATTTCAATATGGGATACCCATTTCTACTTGGGTGCTCGGCCAAGTCAGTATGTTGTTCGGAACCTAGGTGTTGGTCTCCACAATGGGGCCTTCCATTCGAGCAAGCCACCGATTCCCTGGTTGGTCTTGCCGATTTCAACTTCCGACCCGATTCCCAATTGCTGATGTGTTGTTTTTGTTTGCATGTGGGAATAAAGGGGGTCCCGGGTTTACAAGTCAACCTTTGTTTTTTTTTCTCGCGCGAAGGAGATGAGTTTGAAGGCACCGAGTCGAGCTTTTGGCGCATTCCCACGTAGCCCCAGCTTGATGACACTGGTGCATTTCAATGGAGGGTATGTGCCGAAATTGGGAAAACCCGTTTTGGACCTTATGGTGTATGACATTCCCCTTCATCCCCCTGCTTAGGGGCTGACCTTGATCATGGTCAAATCAGGCCATTGCTTGGGTCGATTGTTTGGCCACCCTGACGAGGAGCAGGATGCTTGCCAAATGGATGCAAGAAGGAGCAGCAGTGCTCCCTGTTTAAACCTCTTATTGCCAAACAGAAGTGGACGGACCTTTTCAAGATGTCGGTCGTCTTTCGAAAACCATTATTGCTGGGGGGTTCTCAGCCATCCGGTTTTACAGGTGTTTAGCTGTTTAGTTGGTTTCGTTGTTGGGTTCCACCTAGCCCAAAAGTTAAACTTGTAGGACAGCCCACATGGTCTTCTATCGCCTTTCAAGAGGATGGTAGTCCACTTGCCATGATTGTTGGAGAAAAGAAAACCGAAAGCCATTTGGAAAGCTCCTCAACGTGTCGACTTTTAGCAGGGGTCCCTATATTTCCTCTTCAAACATGTCCCCACCAAAAGGACACTTACTTTACATCGGCTACAAAAAAGCTAAGTTTTGGGCCTCACACGGACGAAGGAGCGCCCAGCGAGCGCTATGCCGAGCTGGTAGTTTGCGGTGCCAAGGAGCGCGGGTTGGCAGCCGTGAGCCATCCCAACCCGAGAAAGTGCTTAAGGTTCGTTGCCAGTCTGGCAGCCGTCTATCGGCGCGTCGTCAAAGCCCTGCTTTGTCTTCCGTGCCATAACCGGGCTGGCCCATGTCGAAGTGTCGTGGAAAGATTGTGTAATGATCCAGGCTTGGAGGTCGCAAAGAACCGGCGCAAATTTCGGCAGGATGTCCAGGTTAGGTCAGGACCTAAGGAACCGGACCAACCGGCTTATCTTAGGTCATGGTTATAAGCTTTTACTGGCGGCCTAGAAATGGTTCCTTTTACGACACGCCCAAACAGCGTGGAACAAAGAACATGGCCTAAGGGGACCAAGCATCTTGCCAATGAACATCCAAGCGTATTGGCATCCTTGACGCGAACAAGCCGCTACCTCCTGTTAGAGGACCAGTTCTTATGCGACGAGTTTTTTCACGGGTGGCCGGCACTTGGACGGATCTAACCTCGCACAAAAAGCTGTTCAAAGGGTATCAGGGGACCCTCCGGAACAAAATAGTATGGCACCCTCCCCCACAGTTTTGGGTGCGTCCCAAAAAGTCAGCTTGCCACCACCCCCAAAATGCTCGGTGTCCTTTCGGTTTCCCTTCAACCAAACCCACCTAAGGGGTTGGTGTCCCTGAATGGCTCTCACTCCGAATGTCTCTCACTCCGTGAGCGCCATTCGGTCTAGTCACGTGTTGGGTCTGGACCATTTGAGTGGTAAATAGCAAGGAAGCAAAGACATATCGCTGTCGTTGTCAACACCAATGGGATCCCATGTAGGTGCACCACCCATTTGAACCTATCTTAGTGGGGATTGGGATGTTCACTGGGGTTACGGGATTTTGACCCATGGCCACATGGGACCCTCTTTTTTTTGGTTGGCCACTCCACTGAATCGGTTTGTGCGTCGGTTTCTCACCGAAGCCATTTGCGAAGTAGTTGGATCGGAAGTGAGTCAGGCACCCCCTAAGTGTTGGTTTCGATGGGTTTGGGGATTTCAATCCCTGCTTGTGTACCTGGAGTCTCCATGACCCTTTAAAGATGGGTCAATGACACCAACATGTTGTGTAACGACCAACCATTTTTCAAGGGTCATGGAGACTCCAGGTGGGTACATTTGAAAGCCTTTCTTAAGCGATTCGTCTCCAAACCAAACCACCTGGAAACTCTGAGCGGGGGCTCACCAAAAGAAAAGGACGCTCCTTGGAGGGAAGCGCGAGGGCTTCTCCGGCGGCTCCACTGGAGGGCTTGAGGCCTTCTCATGGTTGCCTCTAAGGGAGCCCTCGAAGGGAGCCCTAGTAGTATAAACCATCCCTTGTAGTTTCCTCTAAGGAAGCCCTAGGCATGGTTGTTGTTGGGAAACTTGTTTTTTTTTGCATTTTGCTTATTGTGGTTTGGTTGAAATCCCCCACTTAAATGCTAAAATAAGAAATCTGAAGCATTTTGCTCCCCTTCCAACGGCAACCAAGTTCTCCCCAAACCGCCAAACCGCCACCAAAGAACTTGGGAAGTGAACGCTTCTCACCGAACCCAGCCAGTTGCGCAGTGGCTTGCTTCCTTTTTCATTTTTTTTCTCGGAAGGGTTCCGATTCCGTTGAAATGAGCCAACCAACCAAAAAGGATCCCGATTCTTTTTTCGCGCGGAAATCCACTGGGCATCTTAGCAAAAGCTTGCTGTTGCTCAGTAAGGAATGTCATATAGGAATGACCCCTATAAACCATCCCACTGGTGGTTTCATTTATTCGGGCCTCCCTGGGTTCATTCCATTTCTCCTTCCCTGCCTATCGCAGCGATCGCAAGGTATCTTCAGAGCCCCGCAAAAAGTTCCATGGACAACCAGGTTCTTCAACAACCAATACACTAAAACCAACGGGGTATTTGAGCACCAGCAAGACCACATGGCTGGCTCAAAATTAACAAAACAGCAGGGGCTGCTCCGCAGGTTTTTGTCCATGTTTCCACTTCCCAGGGCAAGCCGTTTTGGGGTGACCCTGTTTTTGAGCCACAGCCACTTGGGTCAGTCTGTTTAGGGCCAGCCGTTTTGGGAA